CTTTGTCCTTGTAACTAGATAAATGGAGCGCTAGCTGGATGTCAGTTTGGGTGGGATACCCTTATTCTGCCAGCTTGCTGTTTTATTTTAACAGGAGAAGCTTTCAAAAGATATCGAGTACCTCATCAGTAAGGAGAGCCAGGTGAAAGCTCACATCACACAGCTGGATCTGCTGCTGAAAGAAACAGAGGTAAGAGTGGCTCGCCGGTTGTCTGGGAATGGCCCTTGCAGGGACTCAAACTGTTTTCAGTGAAGTATTTCAAATCTTGCGGTTTTTTTCAGTTAGCCAGTAAAACAATTTCTGACAGTTTGTGTTAGTCCTGAATCACATGCACTAAGACCTAATCCTGACAGTGTGGGAAATGTGAGCAACATACAGAGGGAAGTTAAGTTTTGGGTGCTGCTGTAAATTTAATTGAAATAAAGCTTATTTGATACCTTCAACAAAGAGAAGTGGGTTAGACTTACAGCTCTTGTTTATTAACGATGCTGCACAATTTATGCTGTCTGTTTACCTTGAAGATGTTGCAGAAAAGTCAGAATTAAGGGCAAAATCTCCCTGCAGAAGAGTCAGAGCTGGGAGCTCACATACAAGCTGAAAAGTGCGATGGCAGAAATTGCAGGAGCTCCTGGCCCTGCCCGTATCTTGATACAGATTGTCTCTGTGCTTTGTGGTTCCTCTTACGCAGTCAGAGGTGGCACTACAGTTCTGAGGGCATATGTGAGAAACTGGCCTGGACCCCATTTCAGGGTGGTTGGGAAGATGAAAGAGCACCTTGCTCGTGATCATGAAGACTTCAGAGACTGGCCTGCTTTTACAGTGCTTGTCCATGAGCTGTTTGGAAAATGTCATGCATAACTCAAGGCATAATAAGAGGAATACTTTCCTGCTCTTCATTCTCTGTGTTAAGATGGTAAATGCTTACTGGCTTGGGTGCAGTGCTGATGGCATTTTCAATCTGAAGAGCATAACAAAGCTCATTAGTCTTGTCTGTCAAACGGATGACTAGATTGCTATGGTATCTTGGACAATCTTAAGTATGTTTCTGTTCACAGCCACAGTGTTGTGAAGTCTGTCTAAAATGTCTTTTGTTCCTTCGTAGTGCAACAGTGAAAGAGCTAAAGAAGAAGCATGTCAGAGTTTTGAGAAATTATCTCATGTCCTGGAAGAGAAGAAGTCTGCGGCTCTTAGGGCAATTGAGGCTTCTAAGAATTTAAGGCTGGAAAAACTGCAAACGCAAGCCGAAGAATATCAAGGGCTCCTGGAAAATAATGGCCTTGTAGGATATGCTCAAGAAGTGCTTAAAGAAACTGATCCGTCTTGTTTTGTTCAAACAGCAAAACAACTTCATGTCAGGTATCTTAATTATCTTCTGTCTGAGGTACAGGTACTATTCTAGGATGTCTGGTCAGTCATGTTCTTTTGACACCTAATAGCAAAGTACTGAATGCAGTACCTGGTGTTGCAGAGGTGCAGAGATGGTCCTGGTACCATTCAGTAGAAATTATCACATTACAGGGTGTGTTAAGAAGCAGCACACAGGAGGGGCTCTGTCCTGCAACAACGCCAAGCCTTGTTCAGTAGGACAGCAGTGGAAGGGTAGCCCGTATCAGCTCACTGGCACATTCCTTTGCTCAGAGATTGTATTGGGATTTGCAAGTTAATCTAACAGGTCTCTTCTGGCTTTAAACTCTTCAATCTTAATAGTTGTTGTCCATTAGCACTTCATGCCTATTTTCTTCTTTGAATGTAATGCTCCAAATTGTTAAAATGCTTTGCCAGCTGAATGATTACCTCCTGTTCCTTATCTTTACACTGATGTACAAGAGACTTTTAACTTTTGTATTTGAATTCTGTCTAGAGAGACAGAAATTTTTAGGAGACATCAGTGAATACATGAAAACGGAACTTTTTTTTAAAGCAAAACCTAGCATTTTTACTTTAAGGAATGCACACATATGAATTCTCTTTTCTGTCTTCTGCCATCCCTCTGCATCTGTGCTTTCAGAATCCAAAAAGCTACTGAATCTCTGAAGACCTTCAGGCCAGCAGCTGAAACTACTTTTGAGGACTTTGTGCTGGACATAGCCAAGCAAGAAGAGATCCTTGGTGACTTGTCCTTCCTTTCCAATGGTAAATTGTGAAAGCATCAGGTTTTTCTTGAGACCTTATGGCTTTAAGGGCTTCTCTGTAAAGAGGCAAAACTTATACAGGACTGCACTTGCAGAACTCAGTCTTGCAACTTGCATTGTTCTTTTCTGTCTCCATGATCCACAAGGCATTACCTGGCAGCAATGCTAGCTTCAGCTTTGATAAAGAAGCTAAGATGCCATTGCATTCAGTACCAGTTTACGTTGGCTTCCAAAATACTACAATTAAGTAATACTAGGTCTCCTAGAAGTGTTTTGTTGCATGACAGAAAATAATAGGGTTTTATACATTTTGTTAGCTGCCAGCAAAAATAAATAATACAACTTTCAAAGGAAAAGCAGAAAGTAAGGGATTTATTTAAGTGCATGAACAGAACCATCCTCATGTGCATTCTTTAACTGAGTCAGATATCACTCACACACCCCCACACACACCCCCATCCCACCCCCCACCCCCCTATAGCCATTCAACAAAGGGCTTGTATGTTTAATTTTAAAACAACATGTATCTAAATTTGAGGTGTTTTTCTCCTGAATCTCTGACATTCCAGGTCTAGAAATACCAGAAATCAATGAAGAGCAGAGCAGAATGTACGACAAAGCTCTAATCAGCTGGGAATGCCCTGGGAAGACAGACTCAGCTGATATCTATGTTCTTGAGTATCATAAGCTTAACAGAGAAGAGGAGAGTGCGGCATGGCAGGAGATTGAAGTTTGCAGCAAGAGCACAGTAATACCTGATCTTGATGATGACAGCAGCTATGCCTTTAGAGTTCGAGGATATAAAGGGTCCATCTGTAGCCCTTGGAGCCGAGAAGTTATTTTGCGTACACCTCCAGCTCCAGGTATTGGGTTTTCTGATGTCCACAAGGTGCTGAAACTGTGCTGTCAGTGTTAAGAGCTGTTGGTGGTTTCCAGTAGCTCCCAGGCTTTACTGTTACCAGTTGCATAAACGTTCAGAAGCACTAACAAACAGGTTAAGTAGGTAGCATACTGAGACTGTTTTAGCTTGCATGACGTTCCTGGTAGTCTTTAAAAGTGAGAAATTCTAATGCCAGTGTGACTTAAAATGTAGTTTATAAGCACAGAAGGCCAAAAACTAAGACGAAATTTTTTGGGATATTGTTTTTCAGTTTTCCGTTTTCTTTTTGATGACAAATGTGGGTACAACAGTGAACATCTCCTGGTGAACCCAAGAAGAACCTCTGTGGAAAGTAGGGCTGGATTTCCTCTACTGCTGGGATCTGAGCGCATGCAGGTCGGGTGCTACACAACCCTGGATTACATCATTGGTGACACTGGGATTGCCAAAGGGAAGCACTTCTGGGCTTTTCATGTGGAAGCCTATTCATATCTGGTGAAAGTGGGAGTTGTTTCTAGCAACAAGATACAGAAATTGTTCCATAATACCCACGATGTGACCAGCCCAAGGTAAATTGCAAACTCTTGCTTAATATATGTTTTAGATAAGGAGATGGCTTTTTAAAAAATAAATTAAGAGCAAGTTTGGTCTCAATTAGTATGCAAGGTGAACCTAACCAGAGGAAAGTGGCTTGAAGGATATGGTGTAAGCAGGTTGTCCTGTTCATCCCCCACTATTAGGAGAAAGATGTTCTAATTATACAAAGTCCTATTTTCTTTATTTTTGGGGAAGAAAGCAGGTTCCTATAGATGTCAAGATATGTCAATTAAAGCAAGAAGGTAAAAAAAAAAAGCATCAGTTGCAAGACTGAAGCAATTCTTAATTCTTAATAGCAAGACTCTGCCTTAATTACCTTAGCGTACTAGGTTTGGCAGCTGTTCAGAGGTACAGTGTTCACTGTGCATATCTGTGTATCTTTGCTGTAGCTTGCATCATGATGGATTCCAAATCATTGGCTTATCCCAAGGCTATATGGTTGCATAAGGTACTGGACTGCTACTGAGCACAAGCCAAAGTACAGTGGACAAAACAACAAAAGGATTTCCAGCTCTCAGTTACAGTTGTAGTAAGCCTGGATGTGTCTAGGAACTGGAGGCTGGGAGACTGTCTCCTGGGGACTCTTAGCTTTTTCAGGAGTCTAGAAAATGTATTTGCTTCCTCCTGTATAACTTAATGAAAGTGTAAAAATGCCAATGTCTTGAGCTGCTTAAAGTCAGATGGAGCCTTTTTGCAAAGTGAGACATTAGATCCTGATTTCTTGATTTCTTTTTCCTTATCCACACAAATATCTGGAAAACTTTAGCTGATACACATCTAACCTGCCCCCAAATACCCCAAAACCACAAACCTAGCTAGGGATTGTCTGCACAGAAGAATGTGCTTCTCTGGTCTGTCTTCATCTGGGGACAGAAGTAGGAAAAGCATGTAGACTGAAGAAATCTGGCTACAAACTTCCCCCAGTAACCAGCTGGGAAACAGGGGTACAGGTGAGCCTTCAGGCAGAGCTCTTTAAAAAAAAAAACAACCCAAACCCACCACAAAAACCTTAAACCACTACTTTTTGTGTTGTGAATTTTAAAGACAATGTAATGCAGCAGTAGCATGGAAAACTCATAGGACAACAGTAATGTTAAATGTATTTACAGCTGTTGTTTAACATTATGTAAATAAAGCTAGACATGTCTGTAATGATTAGTCATATTCACTAAATTACTTCTCAAGTTAACTAACTTACTTTACCTGTAGGTTCATTAATGATTGCCTAGCATGAGTACATTTAGATATATCTGCTCCTTAGTAAAGCCTGCTGTGGTCTCATCCTCATTAGAATTTAGCTGTTATTAATTGTTTGAAGTGGCCCAAGTGAGTGTTCTCTACCTACTAAATGCATCTTCCCCCCAAGCTTAGGTATATTTTTACCCCACAAGGTTTTGCAGGTGATCCTGTGGTGTTACCTATCTTACAAAAGATGTTTTCTCCAGTTCACATCAACGATACCACATCAGAATTTGACAAAAGCAAATGGTTCTTCTTCTGTTCTAGATACGAGCAAGACAGTGGTCATGACAGTGGGAGTGAAGATGCCTTCTTTGACTCATCGCAGCCTTTCACACTGGTCACTTTAGGCATGAAGAAGTTCTTTATCCCCACAATACCTGCTGCCCCAAAGGATCCAGCGAGCCGAATCCTTCCCCTGCCGTCGTGCTTGGGCATCTGCCTGGACTGTGACAAAGGCAAGGTGGGGTTTTACGATGCAGGCTCTATGAAATGCCTTTATGAGTGCGAGGTGGACTGCTCTGGCATAATGTACCCAGCATTTGCCTTAATGGGTGGCGCAGCAGTTCATCTTGAGGAAGCTGTCACAGCAAAGTATGGGGAGAACCACGATGACATCTAGTGCAGTAATCTCTTCCCATCGCTGTTCTGAGATGGAAAATGAAAGCAGAAGAATTCTACTTTAGTCTTCAGTCCTGATTAATAACATTCTACTTATGTGTTGCTCACAAGCCTCTGGGCCATGCTTTTTTTAAACAAACGGTTCAGGCACTTCCCACACCAGTGGGAAATGTTCTTCCGCGAACTCTCCTGCCTTTCTTGTGATCTGTGCGATGCCGTTCTCCAGACATTCTTCCCAGGAGGAAGCAGGGAAGAAGTTTGACTAGCAACCAAAATTACTCTTCAGGGGTAGAAATCTGCCTTCTATGTAACTTAAATCCTTACCTAGTCAGTTTTGCATTTTATGAAGTCAAAACTGATGGCGTGTGATTGCCATTCTCTTTTTAAGAAATCTGCCTGAATGCCTCTGAGGGCTCAAATGCTTTCCAATTAACCCCTGAGCACCAGGGGTTGGAACTTTCAGCACGAAATAACATTTGCAAAAATGCAATATAAAGTCGGGAGAAATCAGAACTGCAGCTGAACATTTAGGTTGTATTGGGAAAGAGGATGGTAAACTAGAATCTGATTGCATGTCATATACCTTTAATGTGACTGTACGGTAAAACCCTAATTCTGACACCTGGTGTCATATAGTTGGTGGCATAATGGTAAGTTTCTTTACTCTTCCAGGCTTTTACTATAGGCTATATAAAATACATAAAGTGCAATTTGACCTTAAACGTCAGACTTTAGAGTCCAAAATCAGAAGTGTTTGCATGTGTGAGTAATAGTACCTGGTATTTAGGCAAAAGAATCACAGAATCATAGAATCTCAGAATGGGGATTGGGATGGGGCATCCACAACCTCTCTGGGCAACCTGTGCCAGTGCCTCACCACCGTCACAGTAAAGAATTTCTTTTTCACATCTAATCTAAATCAACCCTCCTTCAGCTTGAACCCATGACCCCTTGTCCTGTCACTACACTCCCTGATAAACAGTCCCTCACCATCTTTCCTGTAGGCCCCTTCAGGTACTGGTAAGCTGCAATTAGGTCTCCCTGGAGCCGCCTTTTCTCCAGGCTGAACAACCCCAAATGAGCAAATGAGTTATTGACATGAGTAATAATATGTGAACTTTAAAAAAAAAATCAGGTATTTCTTTTAATACTTGTTTCTATAAGTTAATTTTTTAATCTAGTAGCAGCTTGGTTTTTTAGTGAAAATGTTAAAAATGCACTATTTAAGTTCTGAGACCCAATTTCTGCCTTAAAGGATATCTCCTCTCAAATTTCTGTTCTTCTTATGTTGAAAACTGTATCACATAGTAGTTTTTCACAGAATCATAGAATGACACATCCACAACTTCTCTGGGCAACCTGTTCCAGAGTCGCCCCACCCTCATCATTAGAAATGTTTTCCTTACATTTAATGTAAATCTACCCTTTATCAGTTTAAAACCGTCACCCCTTGTCCTGTTGCTACAGGCCTTGGCAAAAAGCCTCTCTCCATCTGTCTCTTAAGCCCTCTTTATATATTGAAAGGCCGCAATGAAGTCTCCCCGGAGCCTTCTCCAGGCTGAGCAACCCCAACTCTCTCAGCTTTTCTTCACAGGAGAGGTGTTCCAGCCCTCTGATAATTTTTATGGCTCTCCTGTGGACCTGCTTTATGCTGGAGACCCCAGAGCTGGATGCAGTAGTGCAGGTGGGGTGTTGGAAGAGCCAAGTGGGAGAGTCGCCTCCCTTGCTCTGCTGGGCACCCCTCTTTCTGTGCAGCCCAGGATACAACTGGCTTTCTGGGTTGCAAGCACACGTTGCTGGGTCATGTCCAATTTTTCATCCACCAGGACCCCTAAGTCCTTCTCTGCAGGGCTGTTCTCAATCCCTCAGTCTGTATCAACACTGGGGATTACGTGGACCCAGGTGCAGGACCTTGCCCTTGGTGAACCTCATAACGTTCACGTGGGCCCATTCCTCGAGCCTGTCAAGGTCCCTCTGGATGGCATCCCTCCCCTCTTGTGAGTGAACTGCATCACTCAGCTTGATGTCTTCTGCAAATTTGCTGAGGGTGAACTCAATCCCACTATGTTGTTAATGAAGATATTAAATAATATTGATGCCAGTACAGACCTTTGAGGTACACCACTTGTTACTGGTTTCCACTTGCACATTGAGCCATTGACTATAACTCTTTGGATGTGGCCACCCAGCCAATTCCTTATCCATTAAACTGTCTATCCATCAAACCCCTATCTCTCCAATTTAGAGGTAAGAATGTTGTGGGGGATCGTCTCAAAGGCCTTACAGAAATCCAGGTGTATGACATCTGTAGTTCTTCCCTTGTCCACTGATGCAGTCACTCCATCACAGAAGGCCACTAGATAAGTCAGGCACGACGTGCCATTGGTGAACCCACAGTGGCTGTCTCTAATGACCTCCGTGTCTTTCATATGTTTTGACATATCTTCCAGGAGGATCTGTTACATGATCTTACTGGGCACGGAGGTGGACTGCATCTGTTTATGGAAATCTATGTAAAGAAACATTTGGGTACTTGCACTGTTAACTTGTGTTGTGGAAAAATAAGGATCTAAAGTGAAGGATGTTTCTAATACATACTTGGTGCTTTCTAATTTGGGGATATGCTTTCTAATTTGGGGATAGTGTTGCGTCTTGATGAATGTGTGTGAAGTATGCTTACTAAGTACATGTATACAGCTGTAGAGCTATGAAATGGGACCTGAAAATCACAATACACTTAAATGAATGTAGGTCATAATGCAAAGCTTTTGTGTGCTTTGCTGTCTGAACTGTTGTACTGATCTGACCCGGAGTCCACCCCTCCCAGTGTCCTCTCTCCTAAGCCTCTGTCTGGTGGCCACTGTCAGAAGAAATTGGCAGAAATGTCATCTGCGTCAAAGTGAGCATGACAGCCTTTTCGGAGCTAGAAAGGTCTGGCAAGGGCAACCTCTTGTCAACTGCAAATGTTTCTGCCCTAGTAAGGCTGCATAGAAGTATGTTGCACAGCTTCATTGTGTGCTTGTGTGGGAAGCACTTCCATGTCCCAGACAGCAGGTGTGAAGCAGTGGGTATCTTCTGGAACATTCTCCTGCAAGAAATGGCAAATTGTCCCTTGCTAGTTACCCTTTAGGTAATTTCTTTTTGTAAAATATGGTTATCATAGCCTTTCTTTCCCATTTTGCCCTCCCTTTCCTATTTCTTTTCACTGGATGGAAGCCATTTTGTACTGGTGAGCATCCTGCTGCCCCTCTTTCTGCTCTCGTCTTCTGAGGCTGACTGAAGGACCCCTCCATACAGACACTCTCTTGCTGTGAAGGATGACAAAATTCTGGATTTTCCTTCTTTACATAGTCCTAAAACTGTATTTGCCTTTTTGGTTGATACCGATTATTATGCTGATGTTTACAGTTTCTTCTGCAGTGTCTTCCACACAATCCTGATGGTTAGTTGTAAACAAGCTATGCACATACAGGGTTTCCCCACCTTGTGTGTAATTTTGCATCTGTTAATGTTGAGTTTCATCTGCTTGTTTACCTAGTCACTTAGTCCTGAGGGCCTCCTGCAGCGCTTTAGTCACTTCTAGACTTGAATGTTTCTGAGTAGCTTCATAGGTAACACAAACATGATAAATTTTTGTTTGCTTGCTTTTCCAGATCTTGGAGCAGCTTAAGTTGTAGTAAGATGCAGCAAATCTCTTTCTGCTGGTAAAATTTATTCCACGTTTTTTTTCCCCTCAGTCATTTATTAAACCATGATTAGCTAGTCAAGCACTGAAAACTTTCACATTTAGTGCACTGTGTTGAGTAGATGGCTCATGTTCTTGTATGTGTGAGCCCAGTAGCCAAACAGACCCAGGAGACAGGATTCTCTCTTCAGTAGCCGTGACTTCTTGCATTGTATAATCGCTATTTGGCCTTCATCTACCAAACCTAGGCTTAAAGCTATAGATTATAGGTTGAACTTTCCAATTTGTTGTTCCCAGATATAATTTTTTATTTGTCTGTTTCAGAAACTGGTCTAAATTACAGGTTTTATGTCACAGCTAGCACTCTACAGTTCTGCATTCAGATTCTTATAAAGCATCTGGACCAATATCACCAGGCTTTGGCCTTTCATTACTTTATGGAAATATTCATAAACTGAACATTCTATCTTAGATATGAAGACAGTCCCTCAGACTCATTTATTTAAAAAAAATACTAAATTTTACTAGCTTGAGAATATAGAAGTAAGAAATTAAAAATTGGGGTTTTTTTTCTACTATAGCTTTATCTTACATTCATTTAAGATGTACTCTGCTATGCAATTACTCTACTGGACAGACATCGACACTACTTTAAACATTTATCTACCTTTTGATATGTCTGTTTGTATTTATCTCATTCTGAGTTTAAAAATTGATTTGGCTTTTGGTGTTACTTGAATACTTAGGATACATTCATTACAGTACTCTATGGTGCTTACTCCAGCTTATTAAATAAAAAACACACTGTCAGAGACACTGTCAACACACTGTCAGATTTTTTCCACTACAATGGAAGTGTCACCTTTCAGAAATACAGTTCAGCAGTATTTGCCTATCCAAATACTTATTTTTCCAGAACAAGTTTCTTCCTATGAAACAGCACTTTACAACGTAGACTAAGCTAAGAATGGTGTGGTATTGTGTGGATCTTTGTGCAATATAGCTGTTTGGTGACTTCTGTGTGATTTGCAAAGCTCCATGCAGGTGTGAATCTTGTAGACACTTTTTAGATATCTAAAGCTTTAACAAAATGGCCTTGTTTAAAAATATTCTGAAATGTAAATGTGATGTCTTTTTTTTTTAAATAAAAGCTGAAAATACAGTAACTTTGTCATTCACATTATTGTATCCCAGCTTTGAAGTACCCCAGTTGAAATAATATTTCTTAAAACAGATGACAACACGTGACTTGCGAGGAGATAGCACTGCTTTTGGTTCTCAAGTCTCCCCATATACCAGTACCTCTAATTTTAGGA